TGTGGCTCAAGTGGTAGAGCGCTAGCCTTGAGCTGAAGAGCTGAGGGACAGTGCCCAGGCCCAGAGTTCAGGCCCCACAACTGGACCCAAAAAAATTAAAAAAAGTTCAGGGACAGGGCTCAGGCCCTGAGTTCAAACCCCTGGGTTAGCAAAAAAAAAAATTCAAGACAAAAGATTGGGCATATAGCTTACTGGTAGAGCACTTGCTTAGCACACATCCCTGTGTTCAATCTGCTATACTAATATCTATATCTATATATTATATACACACACATATATATATACATATATCCATATGCACATTTGCATGATAGCTTGTATTTGCCTTAAAGGAACCCAGACACTGGAAATCCCCAGCTGAACCCAGGACCGGTGGGCAGCAGATATACTCGCATTGCCCCATTCAGATAATGAACTTCAGTCCCAACCCCAGCAGAAACAATTCAGAGAAACTGGTATTTGTTCCACTAGAAATGAAGTGTAATGTTTTAAGCACACACAGCTGTTGCAACTTGGAATCTCCCAGCGATGCCGGCTGCAACTCGCTGGTGCAATCACCGGCACAAGCCTGGAATGCCCTCGGCCCCACGCACTCTCCCCACAGCCCAAGGAATCAACCACAGAACCTGTTCTACTAGAGACTCTTTACAGGTAATCTAGATTCTCTTCTTTCTGGGTGACGGTGGCTCACACCTGTAATCCTAGCTACTCAAGAGACTGAGAGCTGAGGATCGTGGTTCAAAGCCAGCCCGGGCAGGAAAGTCTGTGAGACTCTTATTTTCAATTAACTACCAAAAAGCTGGAAGTGAGCTTGTGGCCAAGTGGTAGAGTGCTAGCTTTGAACTCAAACGCTCAGAGGCAGTTCCCAGGCTCTGAGCTCAAGCCTCCAAACTAGCACACACAGAAACAGACAGACAATTCCATTCTTGGAAGGAAAGTCATTACCACAAAGGTAAAACAAAACCAAAACCCAAATACGATTTTTTTCAAACTTTCCCATTTAAATACAAAGAAAAAAGTCTTTAGCCTTAGTACTGGTTTTCACAGAAATAGTCCAAGAGTGAACAGATGTGGACACAGCAAGAGGAGACCAGGCAGGGACTCTGCAGAGGTGGCGCCAGCTGCCTCCAATGTCTGCCAGCCCGCCAGCGCCATTCGCCCCCAGCTAGACGTTTGACCAGCAGAATCAGGTCACAGCAGAGCCGCTCCCCCAGCCCGGCCCCTCCCCCGCAACTCTTCTCAGGGACTTTCCAGAGTGTTCAAAGGGCGCAGCCAGGGACTTTCCACCCTGCATGCCTGGAACATGGCTTGGCTGCAGTCCCTGGCCCTCAGCCAGAGGCCCACACAGCTGCTGACCTCAAGGACCACATCTTTCAGGAGGAAGAGACCCCAGAGGAACCCAGAGACTGAAGCTAGAAACTGCCATAGGGTGCCCGCCCTTGGCCCGTTGCACCTGCCCAGGGGAGCCCTCGTCACCACCCCAGGCCAGCTCCTCACGATGCCAGGGGAAGGTACAGCTCTACACTGCCCCAGGTACAGCCAAAGGTGCGCTCTGGTGATATGAAACCCAGGGCCTGAGACTACCAAGCGGTTCAACAAGCCAAGTCTGGCCAGCCACACGTAACAAAATCAGTCATTCCAGTCCTCATTCCCCAGGGTCCGCCTCACACCCCTGGGCACAAAGGCTCCTGTCTCCCGGGCCCTGGCCTGGGACCTCCGCTAGGCATGGAAACCAGGGTTCCAAGCAAGCAGCTTTTTACAGCTCGGTGGGATGGCATCCAGGTCCCTCCCCACTTCCAGATCCCAATTTACAACTCTGCACCCACCAACAGTCCCCAACCCCCACCACTCTACAGCCTATCTCTACAGATCTGCGGACTGAGCCAACTGAGGCCTCTGTGATTGGCTTACTGATCCAGCACGACATCACCATGGACCTACCTACCGCAGTGGGCATCAAGACTTCCCTTCCTAGCCGGGCGCTGGTGGCTCACGCCTGTAATCCTAGCTACTCAGGAGGCTGAGATCTGAGGATCGCGGTTCAAAGCCAGCCCGGGCAG